GAAGTGGGGCTCGATCCCAGGACCCTGGGATCATGACCTGAGCCGAAGGCAGAGGCTTTAACCCACTGAGCCACCCAGGTGCCCCTCATCTATAAATTCTACACATGCCTGCTGAGCACCTACTACGTGCCAGGCTCTATGCAAGTTGCTGGCAGTTTGGAGATGAATCACACTGACCTCCAGATTTCAGAATACATTCCCACCCAGAACCTCAGGAGCCAGGCCTCAGTGGCTGGGACTGGACAGCGGGCAAAGGGAAGGTACCTCCCACCACCATCCCTCAAGGGAGCTTCTTGCTCTTCCCTTTGCCCCCATGGAATAAATCCTATTCAGTCTGCACTCAGGGCTGAAGTGGCCCCTTATTCAGGGATGGGACTACCCACTGCAACCTCATTTGTGACCAGGCCAGCCTGGGTATCCTGCCTCCCCTTCCAGGACCTTCCCCTTGCCTGGGGGCCCATGGTGGGTTCCAGAGGCAGTGTAACCTGGTGGAAAGGGCCTGGGCTCTGCAGTCAGATGGTCTTGGGTTCCATTCTCATCATAAGTGCTTACTGGCTGCGTGACCTTGAACAAATCACTTAACCTCTCTGTGCCCCAATATCCTCATCTGGCAAAAGAGACTTTTGCATCCAACCCTGCAAAATTCCTGGGGGATTAAGAGGACATAGAGATATGTTAAGTGTCTGGCACATAGTAGGAATTTAGTAGGTGAGTTTCCTTCTTTTCAGTCCTGAAGATCCCTGCCTGCATTCAGGGAGCATTTCCCCTTGGTAGAGCATCTGAGAAGTCTGTCCTTAATGGTTCATGAACAGCAGAAAATAGCCTACCCCCAGGAGTGGTGGTGGTGGCTTCGTGGAATGTCTGGGGACTATCCCAGAGCTGGAGGGCAGCAGGACAGTGAGGGGACCCAGAGCCCAGACTCTGGGACCAGACTGCCCAGGGTTCAGCCTTAATTCTGCCACTGACCAGCTGGGTAATTCTGGGCACGTTGCTTAGCCTCTCGTGCCTCAAGCCTCATGTCTGTAAGTTGAGAATAATAACAGCACCTCCAGGATAGGGCCATTGTGAGGATTCAGCAAATGTATCCATTACATCACCTGGCGCAGCACCTGGCTCATTGAAAATGCCCAGTAAGTGCACTTACGTTTGCCAGACTGGAGATCAAAGCCTGACTGTGCCACTTCCCACTGTGTGACTTCGTGCACGTGTCTTCACTTCTGCAGGTTTCCTCTTCCTCCTCTGTGCAGGAGGAATGGTACCTATCTCAGAGGGTTGTGAGGATTGAATGATACCATGCATGGCCACACACTTAGCACAATGCCTTAAAGATTGCATGCTAACGGTGGACTTTCAGGTACCGTCCTAAGTGATCATCTAGGGCCACAAGGTTCCGAGGACATTCAAAATGCAAAGTATAGAAGTTAGCTTCTTTCTGAGGCTGCTCCTGCCCCCAGCCTCCTTCTCCTTGGCTGGGGGTGGGGGTGGTGGGCAGAGGGGTGAGACTGGGAGGGGCAAACATGCAGACATTCTTGTTGTTGGCATTCCCACGCACTAGCTTGTGACCTCAGGTAGGTCCTGACCCTCTTTGGTCCTCAGCTTTTCAACTTGGAAATGGACTAGATGTTTGATACAATCTGCATCCCTCCCTTCCCAGGCAGGAAGCACTTCCCCATCTCTTGTGTGTCCCTAGCCCCTGGAGCATCCTTCTGTCCTCACACCAGCCAGTGTTTTTTAAAAAACCAAGATTGCTATTTACTAGCTTTGTGACTTTGGTCAACTTAGTGCTGTCTCTGTGTCTATTTCCTCTTTTGTAAAAGGAGCACGATACTAGCACCTACCTCATTAGGTTTTTGTAATCCATGTAAATGTCTTAGAGCAGTGCCTGGCACAAAGAAAGTGCTATATGAGAGCTATCCTTCTTATTATTATCACCACGGTGAGTCTCTGAGAGCCATCCTTGGCTTCCTGCAACAAGCCTGTTCAAGGTTCCCTGACCCGACCCTCTCAGGGTCTGCCCTCGTCTTGGATGTACCTGTGGGGAGAACCTGGCCCAGTCTTCTGCCCCCAGGAATAAGAGCCCAGATCTGGGTCCTGTCAGAAGACAGTCACAACACCCAAGACTGAGCAGGTCTTCTAGAGGCCCCTCTCAGACATGGCAGGAGGAAGCAAGAGGTGGAAGGTGATCGCTACCCCCGCCCTGGCCTTGCCTTTCAAGCTCTTGGGTACTGGTCCCCAACCCCGTCCATGTTGCACTTGACCCTTTACCCCACCCCCCCCCCCAGAAGCTCACAGGTGACAGCTGTAGATCTCACCACTCTTCTCAGAAGCCTGCAGTGTCTCACCAGGTCCTTCCAAGAAAGAGCCAGAATCCTCCTAATGGCCTTAGGCTCTACTGCAGGATCCTAACCACGCCTGGGTCATGGACCCCTCATCAATGCGGGGTGGGGCAGGGGGGACACCCTGTGGATCTTTCTCACAATAATGCTTTTAATGGAATAAAGTAAGATACATAGCATTACTGAAAGGTAAGCTGGTCGAAGTGCAGCTACTGACATATTTTTAAAACAAATTCATTATATAATAACATATGTTTCTGTATTAACCCATTATGACCTGACCCAGTGGCAGGACTGAGCCCTGTAATGTCAAAGTCACAATGAGTGTAGCTGTAGCAATGGGGAGTGATGAAAGTGATTTCTTGTGGTGACAATATTTCAGTCACTGCTAATGCTACCATGCTTGTCGCCTACACTCATAATTGTAGAAAATGCTAACTGTCAGTATGAGAGTACTGAAAATAAACATGTAATTTTCCCATAGTTCAAGGAGGCTCTGGGTTGATTCATGGTCCCCTGAATCTGGGAGTCTCGATTACAAGGCCCTGTGCGTGACCTCCTCTCCTCTCGTCTTGTCCCCCCTCTTCTAGCCACACTAGCCTCCTCTCTGTGTTTCAGATATGCCAGACACGTCCCTGCCTCAGGGCTTTTGTGCTGGCTGTTCCCTCCACTGGCAACTCTTTTCCTCAGATCTCTGTGTGGGCCACTCCCTCACCATGATTAATTAAAAAGAAAAAAAAAAAGTATTTGAGAGAAATACCCTGAGGTTCAGAGACTCTAAGTGTCTTTTCCAAAGTCACACAGCAACTAAATGGTTGGGTAGAGATGCCAACCCAGCACCTTGCAGTTGCCTCATAAACAAGGGCCTCGCTGAAGAGGGACAGTGCCCAGCTATGACAGTGAAGCACTAGAAGCTAATTCTTTCCACTCATGGGGAAGATAGTCTGCCCGGGGGTGCTTGATGTCTGGTCGCACTGAGTGGTGACCACCTAAGTCTGGTCCAGTCTCCAGGATGCAGAGATGGTAGATGGCCTTGGTGACTGCGTGCCCTTCCCCTGGGCCTGGCTTTCTCCCACCTCCCCTCCCCTGCAGGATGGCACATGGTTCTGGCCTACAGCTCAGCTAAAGGAGAAAATCTCCTTGGCTGCCTGCTGGCATGACCCTGAGGCAGCTCCAAGCAAAACTGCTACATCTGTAAAGACAGTCCCTTCCCCAGGCACTAGCCCTGCCTGGTGCCCTCACTAGAGTCCCAGGGCAGGGCCTGGGAATGGTCCCTGGGGGCAGGTGCCCTGCCAGGAGGCAAGGCCAAACATCTGGACCCGCCAAGGGCAGAGGCCTATTTTGGTTTCTGTTTCCATCCATTCAGTGGTCCCAGCTTGGCCGGAGGCTGGATGGCTGGGCGGGGCCTGATCGCCCAGGGTTGGGGGTGCCAGGATGGGCAGGAGGAAGGGAGTAGACAGTTAGGCTCCAGGCAAACTCTGGCCTTGACTGCTCCAGGGCTTCTCCAGGGCACCGGCACCACCCAGGACTTCAAATACACACATGCACATACTCTCCTGCTCATGCACGCTCACCTATAGACACACGGGTGGACACACACACGTGCCTATACACACTCATCCCCACACTAATGCACATGCACTCACACAATACTTTAACACAGTTGCTCAGTCACTCTTCCATACACACACACACACACTTGTGCACACATATGCACACACACTCTTCCATACACACCCACGCTCGTGCACACATGCATGTGCATGCACACACACACATACACACACACTTATTTACGCAGTTGCCGCTCACGTTCAGGCTCATGCTCTCATACGCTCACATCCCAGACCAAACAGATACCACCCCCAGCGCTCGCTCTGGCACAGTTCCTCCCCCTCTCTTAGACAGAACCAGCAGTTCCCTCCCACTGTCTCCAGTGTGGTCTGAATGTAGTGTCAGCTTGTAGCAAGGCTGCGGGGCGTGCCTTGAACACGGAGTTCAGCCCCTGTTCTACCAATGACTGAAAGGAGGCTCGGAAAGGGACAGTGATGGCTCTCAGGTCACATCACATTGCTGGGGCAGAGCCAACGTGAGGACCTCCCAGCCCCATCTGCAGGGCCTGGTTTTGGCTATTGGCGCAAATGAATCTGTGAATAAGGGTTGGGGCTCAAGGGCTCATTGCCTCTCCCTCCCCATGAGGAAAGGGGTGTCCATGTTAGCTCTGGGGGGGCGCATGAAGTACTGCTCTAGCACATCAGCAATGGTTGTGAGGTAGTCTGTGTGTGCGTGCGTGTATGTGCGTGTGTGTGTGTGTGTGAGAGAGAGAGAGACAGAGAGAGAAAGAGCTAATGAAGGTAGAACTCCTGTGTTAACCTCCTGCGCTGGGTCTCTACCCATGTCATCCCATCCTAACTCATGCCACGCTTGAAACAGTGGATTACATTCCTCATTTCATAGACCCTAAGGCCAGAGAAGTCAAGTGACTTGTCCAACATCACAAAACAAACAAGCAGCAGAGCGAGGCTTCAAGTCCAGGTCTGTCTGCTTCCAAAACCTGGTCTCGTACAAGTGGCTAAGACACGTTATGCCTACGGTGTGCCAGGCACTGTTCCACAGGGACTACAGCATCTCACCCCCACAGCATCCCTCTCCGGGCATCACTGGACAGGGGAGGAAACCGAGGCACACAGATGTAAAGCCAAGTCACCCAGCAAGTAGGTGCTAGAGCTTGGATTTGAATTGATGGTCTGGCCCCCAGCCCAAGGTCTGACCATGATACCATGCTGCCTCCCCCTGAGTGTTTAACTCCTGGCACCCGGGAGGGAAGCTGGGAATGCCCAGTCCCGGGAGCTACCAGGTGTGTGGGGACATTGATGCCCCAGGAGAGCTGCTCTTCCTGGTTCAGGGATGCCTTCCCTTCCCCCTGAACTGGAGCCATTAATGGAGAGGAGTGGAACCATCTTTTTGCTGGGAGACCTTGGACAAGTCGACTTCTTTCTGAATCTCAATCCACAGGCAAGGGACAGTTGGACCGGGTGATCTCTAATTGTCTCCCAGCTCAGAAATGTTGGGCTGGGTCAGGAGCAGGCCCCAGCTTCAAGGCTGTCCATTAGGTTCTACCAGCTCAAATGTTTGTCTGGGACCCCTTAGAGACACAGGGGAAAACTAAGGAGGGACAGGCCCAGGACTCCCTGAAGGTGCCCGCAGGGCAGAGAATGCTGGGCTGGGAGTTTCAGGTCTGTTGCTACCTTGCTGTGTGGCTCTGGGTAAGTTACTTGCCCTCTCTAGGCTTTAGTTTTCTCATCAAGAAAAACATGGGGGATAGTTCCTGTTCTACCCCACTCTGCAAGGCTATTGTGAGTATCCAACGTCCAGATGGGAAACTGTGTGGGGCAATGAAAGACCCAACTGATGTTGGCAAATTATTATTATTTTTTAAAGATTTTATTTATTTATTTGACAGAGATCACAAGTAGGCAGAGAGGCAGGCAGAGAGAGAGGGGGAAGCAGGCTCCCTGCCGAGCAGAGAGCCCGATGTGGGGCTCAATCCCAGGACCCTGGGATCATGACCTGAGCCGAAGGCAGAGGCTTTAATTCACTGAGGCACCCAGGCGCCCCGGCAAAGTATTTTGTACCTTGTTTTGTTTCCCAAATAATTTGAGAAATTTAGCTATTGATAATTGATTATGTTGATAAGAGTTTCTGTGAAATTCCTGGCCAGATCTACCCCTGGAGGCCAGGCTGAGTGTCTAATCAGATAAAGAAATCATGAATTGAGTGCCACCCATGTACCAGACACTGGGGTGGTATTATTAACTCTACTTCCCTTCTGCAAATTAAGAAACTGAGGCTCAGAAAGTTTAAGAAATCTGCCCAAACACACATAGCAGAGACAGGAATCATATCCCAGGTATGACCAGCTGTGAAACCCAGGCCCATCACCACCAGGGAGCACTGCCCCTTTGCCCCAGAGTAGGGTAGGGCTGTGTTCCTCCCACCAAGAGGCTCCAGGTCCATGAGAGATTTCAGCCCCCACCCCTGCCAGGAGCCCAAGAATGAACTGGAAGCAACCATGTCACCTCCTGTGTGTGACCTCTGACCTCCCTCCCACATGCCCCGCCCCCCGGGCAGAGTGTCCCCCACGCCTGCCCGCCTGCCCCGCTCTGACCCTGGCGCCTGCAGGTGCGGCTGGTGATTGCCGAGAAGGGCCTGGCGTGTGAGGAGCGGGACGTGAGCCTGCCGCAGAGCGAGCACAAGGAGCCCTGGTTCATGCGGCTCAACCTGGGGGAGGAGGTGCCCGTCGTCATCCACCGGGACAATATCATCAGCGACTATGACCAGATCATCGACTACGTGGAGCGGACCTTCACAGGAGGTACGGCTGCCATTTCCACCAGGGGCTCAGCCACAGACCTCGGGTCCCCACAGGCTCAGACGGGCTCCCAGAACCTTGGGGAGGCTGAGGAAGCCCCCTGGGGTGCGGACATGGCCCAGTCTCCCCTGCAAGGAACAATGGGGCTGCAGACAGGGCTCAGATGCTCCCCAGGAATCACAGAGCTACAGGCATGGCCACCATCCTTGGGATGCCACAAACCCTCTCCCCGGCACTCCAGGGAAAGGGTTAGCTAGTCCAGACATGTCCCTAGGAGCACTGGGGCTGCAGCCTCCTTCCCCAGGAGCTCTGGTGTCAGAGGCACGGCCACAGGTCCTCAGAGCCCCCCTGCAGGACCCAGGCCCTCCTAGTCACCACAAATGGGGCCCAGACCTTCCAACTATGCCAGCACATGGGCAGGGCCTAACCCCCTGAATCCCTATAAGCACAGTCAGGGCCGTGGGCCCCCTAGGTACCCCATAGACACGGGCCCAGGTAGCCTCGAACATTGCCGATATGAGCGCGGCCCAGACACCCCAGAACCCTGCAAGACCCTGTGTCTCCCTCCCTCCCTCCGACCCTCTTCAGGTTCAAAAGCCCACTGCCCATGGCAGATGCTGCAAATCCAGGAGAGGGGTCAGGGCCCAGATGGATACTGTGTAGAAAGAATATGAATGAGTTGCCGACAATTAAAAATCAAAGAAAGTTCCATTTTAAGCATCCAGATTTCTGGCTTCTCCAGCCTGGTCACACTGGGCCGACACCCCCATCGGGCTACAAGCCTGGAGTGGTGAGGAGCTGCCCCTAGGAGACAGGCTGGGTAGACCAGTAGGATCCCCTGTCAGCCGGGTGGAGACTTTGTCTCAAGAGCCTGGGAAAAGGGCTGGTCCCTGTGGGCCTCGACATATCAGGGTTCCAGGATGCTGGCATGGAGGGATGGGGTCCTAGAGCCTGGCCTGTCCAAACGGGGGGTAGGGAAGGGTAGGCGGGCAGGGCGGGACCGCCACCCCCAGCCCAGCCCTGGCCGTGCCCTGCAGAGCACGTGGTGGCCCTGATGCCCGAGGCGGGCAGCGCTCAGCACGCGAGGGTGCTGCAGTACCGGGAGCTGCTGGACGCGTTGCCCATGGATGCCTACACGCACGGTTGCATCCTGCACCCCGAGCTCACCACCGACTCTATGATCCCCAAGTACGCCACGGCCGAGATCCGCAGTGAGTGCCGCGCTACCCCCGCTGGCCCACCGTGTGCTTTGGACAGGAATCCTCCTCCTCATCTCTAGTCCCCTTCCTCCTCATTTTCCTCCTGATCTCCCTCATCCCTCTCTGCCTCTCTCTCCACCTCTTTCTCTCTGTCTCTGTTAATCCCTCTGGGTATCTCTGGCTCGATCCTCCCTCCTTTCCCCCGCTCCTGCCCTCCCTCCTCTTGCTTTCTCTCCGCTGCTCTCCCTGGCCTTCCAGCTCATTCACTCCCTTTCAAACTGAAATGTCTCTCCCTCTCTGGCTATTTTCATTCCCCTCTCCTGCCCCTCTTCTTGTCCTGCCATCCCATGCAAAGGCTACAGGGCTCTGTGGCCCCCAGAGGCTTGTCTTGTCCCGGGGGAGCTGGGGCACCATCATGGTGGAGTCCCAGCCCCAGACACCTGGAGTCGGGGCCCAGGGAGGTCAGGACTGTGGTTGGTGATCCAGGGCACTGAATGACATCAGGGTTGGTGCCGCCAAGGAAGGCTGCCCAGATGTGCAAGGCCCCCTTTGGGGTCTCTGGTTTCTGATTTAAGCATCACGTGTCCTGTCCTAACTGCTAACTTGGACGTGCCCATAGCCTGGCTCATCCTCTAGTTTCCAGCACCCAGTAAACGGGGGTTAGATTAAATCAGACTACGCATCAACCACTGTTTACAGACTTTGGTCCAGGCTCTGTGAAGACACCATGGGGGTCCTATAGACAGATGAAGTGTGGTGATTCTAAGTAGGTACTAGGTGTCTAGTAAATGGTCACTTCCTCCCTCTTGAAGGAGAGAGCCGATGTTTGTAAGTGGGACGGGGCAGGTTGTGGAACTTGATCTCGTCCCTTTAGAGCACCCTTGAACAAGACTCAGAATTTATCAGTATCATCCTATCTCCATTCAGTCAGCAACACTGATGAGGTCTCCTATGACCTAGACCCTGGACAGGGGGCTGGGGACAGATGGGGACAGACACAGCTTCTACTGTCCCAGTCACGGTTCCGTCCCAGGGAAGCAGAATGACAAGTGAGCGGGTAATTGCAGTGCAGGACTAAAGACATTTGCACAGCCTCTCAGGAGGGCAGCCTGGCATCTAGATCAAACACAGAAAGGCCCGCAGCTCAGAGGTGATCCCACAGTTACACCTGGATGTGTGCACCAAGAATCACGTACAAGGATTTTCATTGCGGCCTAGGTGGTGATAGCAAGAACTGGAAACAACCCCATTGTGCATGAGTTGGGAACTGGGCAAATACATTCTAGTCTTTCCCTACATTGGAGCACTTCAAGTCTTCCCATACAATGGACCTCAGCACAGCTATTTTTAAAAAAAGATAAGCCTATGACACTGGGTGTTACGTGCAACTGATGAATCACTAAATTCTGCCACTGCAACTAATAATACACTATATGTTAACTAACTTGAACTTAAATAAAATCTAAAAATATAAGCATACGGGATGCTCTCTAAGATATATTAGTAAGTAGGAATGAAGGGCAAAAACTGCATCTAGCGTGCTAACATTAATATATTTAAAAGGGTGTTAAATGGATACGCAGGTGCTTGCAAACACAGAGGGTTTCTGGAGGGATATACGAGAAGCTATTGGCTTTTGGGGAGCAGAACTAAGAGACCACAGATTGAGGAGAGAGAGATTTACTTTTCACTGTGCATTCTTTTAATATTGTTTGCATTTTTAAATAAGTATGTATGTATAACCTGTTCAAACACTAACTGATTTTAAAAATGTTAACCCTAGAACCAAGGAGTGTTAAGAGAAGGTGCCCATCCCAGCCTTGGGGGCATGGGGGGCTTCTGAAATAAAGCAACACCCAAGGATGACCAGGGGGTAGAAGGGGAAGGAGAGAGAGAATCCCTCCAGCTTCAGGGGTAGGAGAGGGTGTGGTGTATTGGGGGAACTGAAGGAAGTTCTGTGTGGATGATGCGTAGCCCCAGGGGGTATGAGTGGCCGTGGTGGGAGTCTGAGGAGTAGGTCTGACAGAATTGGAATCTTGTCCAAAGAGCAGTGGAGATGGAAATGAACATGGTGGAAAATGGGATGGAAATGAACATGGATAGAAATGAACATGATCCGATGTGTATGTAACAGCACTCCCTCCCCTGAGAGAATGGGTGGGACAGTTAGGAGGTCCTGCTGTCACCTAGGTGAGCAATGATGGTGGCCTGGACTGGGTGGAGGCAGTTCCTAAATACTTCTGGGGGCTGGAGACCCTTCCTCATTCATCCATGAGCTACCTGAAGGAGCCTAGAAGGCAGTGAGGGGTCCAGAGAAGGCCCAACCTGCTCCTCCTTTGAGGAGAGAGATCTGAGGGTTCCAGCTCCACTGGGTGAAGGAAGGGGATCTCACAGGTGCAGAAGGGATCCTGCAGTGATCCCTCCAATCAGCCTAAGGTCTTTTCTGGGCTTGGTTTGCCCTCCTGGAGTCTAAAGAGAGCCACATGTGCATCCCTGGGTGACTGGCAAGAAAGAAAATGCTATACTTTACCTTCACGTTCATAAAATATTAATGAGACTTAATATAGCCCCAAAGCTGAAAGGTCTAGGAGTGTGTTTACTGAGTTTTGTGTCAGGCCAGGAGATGGGGTGGTAGATGGTGAGACATCAGAGGGCAGAGGTTGAACATCTGCGATTACTCATTTACTCAGTCATTCTATTCATTCATTCATATTTTCATTCATTCAACTCTCACTAAGCTCTTGTTCTCTGCCAGCCTGCACTGGGTTTTAAGGAAACAGAGACAAATCTGACATAGCCACTGGTCTCCAGAAACTCAAGTTCTGGTGGGAGACATATATATCCAGAGATAAGTACATCAAAATCTCCACGTATGGCAGGACAGGTTGTGCACTGCACAAGTCCAGGGGTCACTTTTCACATAGATTGCAATGTGAATGGGTTTGTGCAGGGGCAGCTCTGATTACTGTATTTGCATTTTATGGCAGAAATCTGTACAGTGTACACCAGAGGACAAAGGCATTGAGTGGTCAAACCTCCTAGAGGATCAGGACAGACTTCATGGAGGAGGTGATCTTGAACTAGATTTGGAAGGGGATTTTCATGAATACAGGAGAAAGATATTCCAGGAGGTAGAAGTAGTGTGAGCGGAAACCAAGAGGTTTGGGATGGTCTGGCACATTCAGGGAATGCCAAGCGTTTGGAGTGGCTGAAATGTTACCACCTAGGGACAGGGACAGGTGGGGCAACTCAGTGAAAGATGGAGTTGTAAGAAGAGAGGATCCTGCTGTTTTTGTTTTGTTTTGTTTTGTTTTCTAAGGCAAGTTGAAGAGCTTGGATGTTATCTGAGGTCAGTGAGGAGCCAAGGATGGGTTTTAAGCAGGGAGTGGCATGATCAAGTATGTGTTTGAGGAAGACCTCTGAGTGGGGAGAAAGGCATGGAAGGAGAGAGTGCCGGTGCCTCGGGCTGGGTCAGAATCATCCAGAGCGAGATCAATGAGGGGATTTGAACTAAGGGAGGCGGAGGATTGAAAGGAAGAAGTTGAGTATGAGAAGAATAAGAAGGAGGAATCAGAAGGACCTGGGACTGATTTGGTTCAGGGAGCAGGTGAAGGAGGAATTGAGGGCACTCCCGCAGGCATCTGGCTTGGCTCAGTGTGGGGAAGGGCACTGCAGTCAGTGGAGAGTGCAGCTGAGGAGCACGTGGAGCAGGGACGATGACATCAGGTGGGCCATGATGAGTTCAAGGAGCCTAAGGGATCTCTAAGTGGAGTTGAGACACAAGGGAAAGGGGAGAGTAGGATTGGGGCACCACCATCTACCTGACCCACCACATCCCAGACTTACTGGCCAAGAATTCTAGAGAAATCATGGAACAGACCCCAGGATCTTATCCTGCATGATATTTTAACTTCCTCTTATAATTCCCACAGTTTACAGTTAGATTCTCTAAGTTAGATTATGGATACTTCTTTTCTCTCATTAAGAATGATTCTCAAGGTGCTGGCTTGAGTTCCATCATGGACCCACTGTTCCATCACCCTTCCCTTTTTAACATCTTTAAAAGGCCAGTTTTCCCAGGAAATATGGGTTAGGGTGTTCCTAAATCCTCACGAAAATTGCCTCACCAGAGGGGGAAGTTTCAAGACAGCAAAAGTCTCTTACAGTTTTTCTTGCATGAAGCAAGTTTTTCCTTGTGAGCTACAGTGAGTGAGCACCAGACTAAGAATCAGATGGACCCAGGCTTGAAACCCGCTTATCCTTTACTAGTGTGGGATATCATTTAGCCTCTCTGAACCCTTTCCTTTTCCTTTTCTGTTACCTTTACCTGTTACCACAGGAAAGGGTAGGGGAAGACATGCACTGAAGTATGACTTTGTCCAGGTTTATAACCTCTCCATTTCTGGCAAACTCCTCATCCCCAAGTAGTCTCCTCCTCATTGAGGTTTCTTGATGCCTTGTGGCCCTCTGTGTCCCACAGCATTCTGTTCACTCTCCATCACAGATTGATCATGCTGCATCAGAGATTTCTCTATGTGTCTGTCTCTCCCACTAGCCTGAGCCTAGAACAGGATGGCATGTCATCCAACCCTACGTTGCAGCCTGTTGCACCTACTAGGTGTTGGCTGTTGATATTGTTACTTCCCAGACCAGTGCTTGAGTGGGACCATACCTGCAAACTTGTGGAAGAGGGGGTGGGAGTGGTCCTGGGTATCAGAAAGGTGAGGCTTTCCCTATTCTCTCCCCAGGACATTTAGCCAATGCCACCACAGACCTCATGAAGTTGGACCATGAAGAGGAGCCCCAGCTCTCTGAGCCCTACCTTTCCAAACAGAAGAAGCTCATGGTGAGTGCTTCCAGGCCTGCCCAGTTCCCTTCCCCATCACCTTTCCCATGAAACAGTTCCAATGGGAGAAGCTGGTTCTATGAATGAAATGAAAACACTGCTCACTTTTCCAATCCTGTCTCCTCTGTCACTTACTGGTTTTTTGACCTTAGGCAAGCCACTGTCCCACTGGAGCCTTGGTCTCATGACATCTTAGGTTGTGTCCTAAGAGTAGAGCATTAGACAGAGGTTCTTGGGTAACAGTGGCATTGAGAGAGTGTTCTAAGGAGAACCCAGTAAGAGGCCAAGTTCACCTGATCCCACAGAGAGCTCTACAGCCTAAGTGTCACCACAAAGTCGATCCTCACGGAGGCAAGGGGCAAGACAGGTATAGCCCTGTGTCAGTCAGTCATTGGCTACAGATTGCCTGGCGGGGGCATGAGGGATGGGAGAGACCCTCCAGAGTATTTCCAAGCAGCTCTTGTTGGCTGAGAGTAACTCTGGAGAAGAGGCAGCAATGAGCAGCTATAAGCAGATCCTCAGAGCAGCTGGCATATGAAAGTGCCAGGTCTGGCCAGGATAGCCAAGCTCATGGGAGTGTTGTGGGCACCAGATGAGCGGGCTTTGTTTGTAACAGTGGAGCCCTCTCTATGCTGGGAGGGATATTTGGAGGCTGGGTTTGCTGAAGGAGGTTTGAGTCAAGCTCCTTCCAGCCTTGGTTATCCAAGCCCCCTTGGAAGCCAGCTCAACTCCTCTGGTTCCTGCCTGTCCTGTTCCCAGGCCAAGATCCTGGAGCATGATGATGTGAGCTACCTGAAGAAGATCCTTGGGGAGCTGGCCATGGTGTTGGACCAGATCGAGGCGGAGCTGGAGAAGAGGAAACTGGAGAACGAGGGTGGGTGCCAGCTCTGGGGTAGGTGGGTGGTGGAGCCCATCCAGTCCACCTACCCCTGCCCACTTCCAGCCCCTTTATCCCAAAGATCTCAGAGGACCTCCCATGTGGTTAGGGTCATGGACCATGGAGGCAGACAGACTAGATATAAGTCATAGCTTGACTACTTACTAGTTAAGTGACCATGGGTCAGGTACTTCACCTCATTGGACCTCATTTTCTCATCTGTAAACTAGGAATAATAATAAGACCTACTCTAGAAAGGTGTTGAGACGTTGCATGAAATAATACATGTAGGTATTGGGTCAGCACTTAGCACACAGTAGGTGTTTAATTGAGGTTGGTGAAGATGATGACGGTGGTGGCGGTGATGACCAGGACCCACCATACCATCTCACCTTTCCCCTGCTCAAGGATGTATTATGACTCTCTCTGACCTTGACTCTTTCTGTCCTTGAGTGGCTCTCTGACCCTGAGCATGCCAGCTTCATTCCCATCTCCACACCTTTGCTCCTGTAGCTCTTCTAGCTGGGAGTATCCTCTCCATGCCGCTCTGCTCCTTTTTCCTTTTATGTGCTGTCTTTGCCACCGGCCCTCTTTGAGTTTGATTCTGGGTCTTCTCATCTTGCTCTGTTTTAGGCGGTCGGTCTTATCTCCTCAGTTATGCTAATTTACAGAGCCTACGTGATAGGCACTGCTACACTCACAGTGTCACACACACACACACACACACACACACACACACACACACACCATCTGTATGGGAAAGCCATGGAGCACAGTGTTTGAAAAGATGGGTTTAGGAGCCCCAGGCTGGCTCAGTTGGTAGAGCATGCAACTCTTGATCTTGGGGTTGTGAGTTCAAGCCCCAAACTGGGGTGTAGAGATTACTTAAAATCTTAAAAAAAAAAAAAAAAAAAGAGAGGTGGTTTTCAAGTCAGACAGAGGTTTGAGTTAGAGGTCCAGCTTTGCTGTCTATACTGTGTGACTTGGATAACTTGCTTCCCCTATTGGAGCCTCAGTTTCTTCACCTGTAGAATGAGATGGTAATAATACAACTTAATGCCATCTTGTTGGACTCTTATAAAAAGTCAAAGTACTTTGCCCACTGCCTGGAACATGCTAGTTTAAACATATGGCAGCTAAAGGCATGCACATTCTCTGTTTGAGAAAACTGAGGCTCAGAGAGATACAGGGACTTGCTCAAGGTCATGTGGCTCGTAAATGGCATGGTTGGGGCAAGGACAGGTTTGCCCCTGATAGGTGCAGTGCTCTTCCAGCATCTCACAACTGAGGCAAGCATACGGTATGCACAGATACCTAAAGGAATAGGACATTGTCATGAGTTCCAAAGCCAGGGCCCTAAATCCTCTGTAGAAAAAAGCATGGCAAGGCTTAGTAATAAAAATAGTATACACCTCAAGCAGGAACTTTCTCCTTTCTGTCAGAGAAGGTGCTTAGGAGAGCCGTTGCAGAAGAGTGCTCAGAGGCCAGAAGGCGTGGTGTTTCCAAGGTTGCCTCTGGGGTCAGAGTCCCAGCTCTGCCATTTTCTCATTGGTTGACCTTCATTATCAGGCACATCTTACGTATTTATGGATTAATTTGCTCAGCTGCCCTGACAAAATACCACAGACTAGATGTCTTAACCCACAGAGATTTATCTTCTCACAGTTCTGGAGTCTGGAGTCAAAGATCAAAGTGTTGGCAGGTTTGATTCTTTCAAGATCTCTCTTGGGCTCACGAGGTCACATTCTTGCTGTGTCTCCATGCATGCTTTGCTCTGAGTGCATGCCCCTGGTGTCTGTGTGGCAAAATGTCCTCTCCGTATAAGGACACCAGATTAGTTAGGGCCCACCCTGATGACCTCATTTTAACTTACTTACCTCTTTAAAGGTCCTTTGTCAAAATATAGTCGCATTCGAGATACTAGGGATTAGGGCTTCAACATACAAATTTTGGAAGGACACAATTCAGCCCAGACAACATATCTTTAACAACACTTCCTGTGAGCCAGGCACTGTGCTAAGTGTTTCACATAGTTTAATGCATTTAATGCCCCTAGCAACTCTAGGACATAAGTAATATGAGTAATCCTATTTAAACAGATGAGGAAACTAAGGCACAGAGAGGTTCATTAACCTTCCCAAGGTCACACAGATAGAAATGGTGGAGGCTAGATTCAAACCCTGGCTCCCAGAGTCTTCAGTTTTTAAGTGCTAGCTCTGCTGCTTCTTCCGTTCTGTAAAGGGGTGATAAAGAGAAAGCCCACTTCACAGGGCTGTTGTGAGGCTCAGTGAAAAAGTGAGGGTAAGGGAATAAGCACATGGCCTGGCACACGGTATGGAAATGTCCACACATATTAGCTGCTGATACGATCAAGGGAAACACAGAGTGTGACCTAGATGGAGGGCAGAGTTGAAGGTCCTGGAGAACAGCTGTGGATGCTCATTCCTCATGTGATCTGTAGATAGGGAGCCTCCTGACCTCAGGCTCTGTTTTGGTCCTGAGCTCTTCCAAGAGGAGGCAGCATTGTAGTGTGCCATGGCAAGATGACTGGGACTGTTCCAGATGGAGATCCTTGTGTCCTCCATGGCTGCGGGAGGCAGCAGAGGTCTGGGGAGGTGGCTGGGCCCACATGGTCTCATTCACCCACTGGGGCACCCCCAAACTTTCCTGGGAGTAGTGCTTATACCCTGCACTTGTCCCCTTCTGAAGCAGAACCCAGAGTTGGGAACTATTACAATGTCACAGTTAAGACCTCTAGAATGGAGCCAGATGACATGGACGTGGATTCTGGGTCAGCTACCTCCTAGTTTTGTGACCTTGTAGGATTCACTTCACTTCTGTGAGCTCATCTACAAAATGTGGATAATAATAGACTCTAACTTGCGAGGTTAGATTCTAGGTTGCGAGGGTTCATAAAGATAATGGGTGTTGGTCACTCTCCACAGTACTTGGCTAAAGGTAGAATGTTCTAGAAATAGCACTTTCAAAAATAATAACCGTTCTTCTTCATTCATTTATTGAAATATTTCTTGGACACCGATTGTGTGCCAGGTCCTGAGGATAAAATTAAGTAAAAACAAGACATTGTTCTTGCTCTCATGTAGTTTATAGTCTGGTAGAGAAGAAAGACATTAATCAAATAATCCCATCAGTAAAAACAGAATTATAAACAGTGATAAGGGTTAAGATTGATAGTAAAAAGAGTCTGGCAAATTTGATAAAGCTTCTCTGAAGAAGTGACGTTTCAAATGAGACCTGAAGGATATGGAAGGGCCAGCCTAGTGAAGAACCAAGACAGGTGTGTCCTAGGCTGAGGGGACACCATGGTGAGGGGATAGCTGGGAACTCTTTGGTAACTGGGTACTGTGTGGTCAGTAACAGGAAAAGTGGTGTAAGTGTGAGGTTGGACAGAGCCAGAGAGATGCAAGCTCATGGACCTGTATTTAAGATTTAGAATATTCCCATATTTATATTTTATTGAGAGTTTAAATTTAGTCTATATTTAGAATTTAGATTCTGTCCTATGTACAATCCATCCAATGGGAACTCCTTGGAGGGTTGTGAGAAGGGGATTGCATCAGTTAGCTTTTGCCGTATAACAAATAAACTCTAATTCTGGGTCACTTAAAAGAACCTTTTATCTGCTCATGATTTGTGGTTTGGCAGTTTGGGCTGGGCTCAGCTGGGAGCTTCTCCCTGTCCCACATGCTGGTGGTGGCAGCACTCAGGTATCTGCAGCCAGCTGGTAGACCTCGCTGGCATGTCCAGCAGCCGGCTCTCCATCAGCCTGGCCAGTGGGCCACATGTTGGTCATCATCCAGCAGGCTAACCCATGCTCATTCATATGGTGGTGGCTACAGGGTCTCTGAGAACAGCAAGGGAGCAAAGACTCAGCAGGCAAACACCTTTCAAGCTTCTATTTGTGTGGAATTTACTGAGTCCCGTTAGCTAAAGCAAGTCTGGGTTAAAAGGGTGATGGCTGACATTCACCACCTGTTGGCAGAAGCAGCAAAGCCACATGCATACAGGAATGGGAGGCATTGGGTCCACCCAGGGTGAGATGTTCTGATTTTAGGAGCACTCTGGTTGTAGTGAGAATGGATTTCAGGGGAGACAGAGTGGAGGCTGTCACAGCAGCCCAGGAGGGATGATGCTGACTTGGGCCGAGGAGGTGGCAAGGAAGATGGGGAGGCATGGATGGACTCGAGAGGCGTTTTGGAGACAGAATGGATTGGTACTTGCGGAGTGGTCTTATGAGGAGGGAAGAGTAAGGGAATGGAATCCAAGATGCCTACTGGGTTTTGGTCTGAGCTATTGGATGGTGCCATTTCCTGATATGGATGGGAGGTGGGTGCAAGTGTTTGATTTGGGACTCAGTGTGTTCAAGAGGCCTTTCAGACACCCAAGAGGGGGTGTCATAAAAGCCGCTAGGTATTCTAGTCTGCCTTGTAAAGGAGAGGTCAGACTTTGGAGAGAGATGTGTGAGTCTCTAGCATCTCTGTGTGGTATTTAAAGCCACAGAACTGGGTGATTCATCAAGGGGGGACAAAACAGAGTCAGGCCTGATGTGTCCTCTTGCTGCACAGCAAATTGCCCATGAATTAGTGGCTGAAGCTGCAACAAAATGCACATTGATTACATCACACATCTTCTGTGGCTCACGACTTCTGGAGCAGGGGGGGCTGGGTGCTTCTAATTTAGGGCTGCATGATGCGGGCTGTGCTCAAGCTGTTGGCTGGAGCTGCAGTCGTTTGAGCTGGAGAATCCACAGCCAAGACGGCTCCTTCACACCGTTGGTAACTGGAAGTCTCCGGCCCCTGCTGGCTGTTGGCGGGAGGCCCCAGTTGCTCATGACCTGCGCTTCTCAATGGGGCCACTTGAGTGTCCTCACAACATGGCTGCCGGCTCTTCCTGGAACCAGTGCGGCAGAGAGTGAGAGAGGTGGCCACAGTGATTTCCACAACCTGCTGCTGGAGGCCACTGTCACTTCTGCCACATTCTGTTCACTGGAAGCAAGGGACAAAATACAGTCCGTAGTCAAGGGCAGGGAGATCGGGCTCCATCAGAGATGTACTGAGTGGCTCGTGAGTGCATTTTAAAACTGCCTCCCTGCCCTGAGGTCCCCCCATGTAGGGAGAGCGGTAGAGGCGGAGGAGCCAGTAAAGCCGACAGAGAGTCACTGGGGCAGCAGGAGGACCCTTGTGTCAATGAGATTTAGAAAGGATCGTGCTTTAAGTAGAGAACAGTGGCAAATGCTGCTGGGAGTCAGAGAAGCAAGGATAGAAAAGCGTCCCCTGGACTTTGTCTCACGACTGTCGGTGACCTTGCCAAGGGCAGTTTCACTGGAATGTGGGGGTGGATGGCTGGTGAGGGAGGAAGACAGCAGGTGTGGGCCCCTCTTGTGAGACGTTTAGCTATGGAAGGGAGTAGAGAGATGGAATGTTGCCTGAGGACGGATGTGGGGTGAAGAGGGGAGATACAAGTGTGTTTTCTGGCCGTGGAAAGAACCTGGTGGGAAGGAGACATCAGTGCTGTGGGATGGATGGCACTGAGTCCAGGAGAGGACGTGAGGGGCGTCCTACAGGCCGGGGCCCCGAGGGAAACAGGGCACCTTCAAATGGGGTAAGTTAAAGAGGACTTCATCAAGGGACCATTCACAAATGTGTGGGCAGGACGCAGGGAGAGCACAAGGAAAAACGGGGTGGCCTGGGTCTGAGGTTGTGAGGGGTGGGAGCCGTTGCAGGAGCCTGGAGAAAGAGGCTGTGTGGAGGGGGGACGGCCAGGCAGGAGCCCATGGCGACCCGCAGAGAGGACTCCCACCTCCCTTTCACCCACCCACCCTCCTACCTCCTGCCTCCGCTCCCCAACGGCCGGACCCAACTGGAGCCTGAGGGCTGGATGGAGCCCCACTGGGGTGGGAATCTGTCCAGTTGTCCTCCTGGGACACAGAGCAGCGTGGAGAAGGGAGGAGGACGGATCTAGAAGGCAAAGGGGAGACATGCAGCCTTGGATGGTGCAGAGAGCGGCAGGGGGCCCGGCCTTGAGAGGAGGTGGCCGAAGGCAGGGTGCGTGTGCCTGGCTTTGCAGGGTTCATGGCCAGAGTGAAGGCTTTCCTGCCTGAAGGCTCCTGTTTTCTGAATGCCGCACGTGGTGATGTCCCAGTCCGAGTGAGGACTAGGGACCCGGTGTGAGGAAAGGCGAAAGCTGTGTGGCCGTGTCTGCAGGCCGTGGGGAAGCCAGCCTACTCTGGAACTCATAGACGCCTGGAGGTGGCTGAGTGCCCTCTTGGGCTTTGTGCTCATGAACTTGAAGCCTAACTGGTCCGTGTAAGCGTCTCCAGCACACTCAGCTGGCAGACTCAGGGGAGGCAAAAGAGTTTGTCCAGGGCTGGGGGCTTTTCAAAGTGAAAACAGAATTCTAAACAGTGATAAAAGTGTTAAGATAAGTGTTACTGTTTTCCTATATACACAGAGCTGGAGGAGAGGGGCAAACGGAAGGGCGACCCGCCAGGCAGCTACACATGTCCGCACACGTGGAGGTTGTGGCTCTCAGCATCTGCCCACAGACAGAAACACAGGCATGGACACACTCAGACAACGACACACACATAAATGCTTGGGAACGTCTGTCTGCCGCCAAGCAGCCCACCCGGTGGACGTGGGCATCACTGCACTTACGCGCCTGGGGCTCCACACCACATGGACGCAGTGCCCACGTGCGGATAGCCACGTGTGTAAACACAGTTGTTGCGTGGACTTGAGCAGGCGCACACAGGGGCAAACAGACACAGCGCACATGAGGCGGACACACAGATCTGCACACACACCCTACAGAGAACGCACTTACCGAAAGGGGCTCGAGAGTCTGTGGCGATCTGTGCCTGTGCACACGCGCGTCTGCACGGGGACGAGGCCGTGTTCTGTAGTGGTTACACACAGGCTCTGGAACCTGGGCTCAAATCCAGGCTCTGATCGGACACGTCCTACCTGCGTGGCTTTAGCCGAGTTACTTAACCTCTCTGTGCTTCAGTGTCCTCATGTGTATTGTGGGGATAATAATAGCACCTACCAGACAGGGTTGTTGGGAGGAGTGGGGAGATGACACCACACATTCTGGTGCCTCTCCCACCCCACAGACTGTTCCTCCCCTGCACCTCTGCTGGTTTCTCCTTATCCACTACCTAAACCTTGTCCTGCCCGGGGCTCAGTCCTTGGTCCTATTCTCAAATCTGTCTTCTCTAGTCTGTTGCTGGGAACCATGGCCCCGATCCTGCCTCTTTTCATGGCCCCTCACCCCCATCCTGACCTCACCTCGCTCCGGAACTGGCAGTAACTCCCCCTGCCCCCACCAGGAAGAGCACTCCTTTGCCCGCACCGTCAGCTTCCTTGCCCGCCTCTGGCTTTATCACACTTCGCAAAACCTCAAGTGGTTACATCCGCTCTCTACCTAGTAGTTCCTGTGCCCGTGGACCCAAGTGTGGCTGGAAAAACACACATGTGCCGGCTGGTCTCACTTTGAATTCATGACCATGAGGCTTAGATGGCTCTCCCGCTGCCCGAGGGTCCCCCCCATCCCGTCTTAGTCCCCTTTCCAGGTGACTGCTTAATACCTTCTCCTTCCTCCTCAACCTTCCACCCGCTGTCCCCAGCCCTCCCCTCACTCACTGAGGACACCAAATGCTCGAACCCCACAGCGCCCCCCCACCAGCATCTGTGCTGTACCCATCCGTCCTATACACACCACATTTTACCAGTTCTAAGAGACTTCTTTGTTACAACACATCATAACATCTCTGAAATTGGAATGTTTCTCACAAGCAAAGTCGAACTGGCACCACTTGTTCTCTCCGGGGTGGCTATCTTCCATTCCAGATACAGTGATGTACACTCCCTTGAATTACTGAGCCTGAGCTGTCCTTGAACCAGCAACCCCTCCCGTTGTATACTAGACGTCCATCCGCTCAAGCACTTGTGGTGGTAATTCTCTCCACTGTCCTCGGTAGCATCATTTCCCCCTCTCTGCGGGGTCATCCCCATCAGCATGCTGGGTTTTCCCTCCCCGCTTGCAAAGACACTCTTGACCTGTCTCGCATTATTGACGTGTCCTTCCCATCACAGCAAACTCCTTGACAGAGGGATCTTCGCTCACAGTCTCCAGTTCCTCTCCTTCCTTTCTCTCTTGGACTCCCTCCAGCCAGGAGTTCAGCGTCAGCATCCACTCCCACTGCTCTTGTCAAGGTCACCAGTCACCAAATGCCACCATAGTTCTCTGGCTCCTACTTGACCTTTCTGCAGCATTCGAATACCTCCCTGCTTCTCCTTGGAACACTTTCTTATCTTGGCTTCCAGGATCACACCCTCTCCTGGTTCATCTCTTACCTCCCAGGTGCTCCTTCTCATGCTCCTCTGCTGGTTTCTCCTTGCTGCCCAACATCTGACTCTCGAAGCCGCAAAGCTCAGTCCCTGGTCCTATTCTCTAGATCTGTCTACACTCAGATCTGAGTGTAGACTACCCTTGCTAATGTCCTCCCAACTCCATGCTGATGATGCACACTTAACTAGGTATACATACCTCTAATTGCTGATTCACCATCTCCCCTTGGAGATCCAACAGGCATCTTGAAGGTTATGTATCAAGAACAAACTCTGGATTAGACCCTTCCTTGCACTTTGCCTCCCTGTCCTGTGAAAGCACGAGCCTCTGAGGACACTCTGTCTGTCTTGTCCTGTCAGGTCTTCATGCCCAGCACATACTAGATAAACATGTGTTGGGTGAATGAATAAATGAATGAACAAGAAGCCGCAGAGTGAAAGGGATGGAGGGGCTTAGGCTTTGATGGTGGGGGGCATCAGACTCAGGACATCTCTGAGTTGAAAGGAACACCGGCTCAAAGATGCAGAAGCCAGCCTCCCGGGACAGCAGACCTCACAGGAAGTGGGCAGCAGGGGAGCGCATTCCAGGCATGAGACCCAGCAGGGGCAAAGGCCCAGAGGTGGACATGGAGCTCCTTTGGTCTCCTACATCATGTCTTGGTTCAAAACCCTGCAGTTCTTCCCCACTGACCATGTCATGTCCATACCCCTTTGTGGAACTTCTAAGATTTTTCCCAGTGTGTCTCCATCTACTTCTCTAATCTTGACTTTTCACAAATCACTCCCTGCTCCCTGGGCCCCCCCCCAGGCAAGCCATGCCCATTTCCAGTCCCTCCGGCTGCTGTGTTGAGAGCGGACTCAAGGAAGTCAAGGGCAGAGATGGGAGATCATCAAGGGGACATTCTGAAAATTCCAGTGAGAGAGGATGGTTGTTTGGACCGGGCTGGTAACTGCAGAGGTGACCTCACACTCTGGCTGTGTTTGGAAGAGAAGCTGACAGGAGTTGCAGACACACTACATGTAGAGGATGAAAGGAAAAGGACTCGCCATGACATGGGACTTCGGACCAAGCAACTGACAGGGTGGGCACGTGGTCACTGACATAGGGATGAGCATGGTTTAGGGGTGACAGGGTTTAGGGGTGACAGGGTTTAGGGGTGACAATCAGGAATTTGGTTTTGGACATACCGGGTTTGAAGTGCACGGTGGATATCTGAGTGGAGGCTGCTGAACAGGCGGGCAGTTAGACACAGGAGGTTAGAAGTTAGACACGTGTATTTGCACTTCAAAGTCAGTTGATTTAAAGAAAAAGTACTAACAGAGGTAGTCTAAGTCTTAGGCAGAAGTGATTCAAGAAGTGATTCAAGCCGCGGCCCGGTGGCTGTGGGAGCTGGCAGAGGCCAGAGGTGTCAGTGGTGGAGAAGTGAGTCCCACCACCCCCATCTCCTCTCCCTTCCACTCCAGGGCAGAAGTGTGAGCTGTGGCTCTGCGGCTGTGCCTTCACCCTCGCCGACGTCCTCCTGGGAGCCACCCTGCACCGCCTCAAGTTCCTGGGACTGTCCAAGAAGTACTGGGAAGACGGCAGCCGGCCCAACCTGCAGTCCTTCTTTGAGAGGGTCCAGAAGCGCCTGGCCTTCCGGAAAGTCCTCGGCGACATCCACACCACCCTGCTGTCGGCTGTCATCCCCAATGCGTTCCGGCTGGTCAAGCGGAAACCCCCATCTTTCTTTGGGGCATCCTTCCTCATGGGCTCTCTGGGGGGGATGGGCTACTTTGCCTACTGGTACCTCAAGAAAAAATACATCTAGAGCCAGGCCTGGGCTTGGTGCCTGTCGGTGTCTCTGTACTGTGTGACTCCCAGCAAGCTCTCAGTCAGCCACTGTCTCATGAACACTCGGACAGCCACTCCCCGCCCCGTTTGGAGTAACTCTATCGTCAATGTGAAAACATTCCATAGTTTAGAAGTAGACGTTGCCAATGCCGTGAGTTGAGGCCACGGCTCTACTAAAGGAGAGAAAGAGTGAGTGTGAGAGAGAAAGAGAGAGAGAGAGAGAGGGAGAGAGAACAGAAACAAAACACGAATGCCTTTTCTTTTAATTCAAGGTCTCAAGATGGAACTGTGGGGACTGGTTAGGATTCGAGGTGAGTCCCAGGCTGTTTCATCTGCCAGGGCCCAGATTCTGGGAGGTGCTTGGGGCTCGGAGGGCCTGACCCCTCGCCTCCCCTTCCCTCTTGCCCAGGGAATTCTTCCACAGGACAAAGCCAACATCAACACTGACTTTTCTAAGCGGTGCCTCTGGGTGGGGCTGGAGACCGCAGACCCCGGGGAGGCCCCTGAAGACCTGAAGGGGCTCCACTCTTCTCCTGTACATGGACGGAGACAGCACTGGCTCCAGCCAAGGCAGTGGCAGCCAACCACCAGGTCACGCCTGGGACCGACCCCATGAGCACACCCTCTTGTTCCCCTCCTGATTTGGCCAGTGGGTTTGCTTTGACACTTACCAGAAGTCCCTGGAGGCAGCGACCATCCGTCATCCTTTTCCCACCTGGGGTTGACATTTCCCACCACGGGAGGTGGCCTTTCAGCGAGGGCCCTGTTTGACCTTCTTCAGAAGGTCAGTCCTGGCCTGAGTGCAGGGGTGGGTCTGGAGGTGGATGGACTAGGGTCCGTCTCTCTCTGCCTATGCCAAAGCCACCTCGTTTAATGCTCACCTTCCCCATCTCTTGTGGGGCTCCCCCTGTGTTCCACCACACCACGTGGAGAAGGGGAGGTGCCTGCATACCTGCTGCCCTCCCTGGTCATGTCTCACTTTCCTGTGCCTTTTGCATGTTGGGAGAGGGTCTGGGTGTCACTGCCGCTCATGCTTAGAAACCACTGAAAGCCCCCAATAAAGCATTCAGGAGGAGCATTTTCTTTTCATTTCTAAACATGTGTTTTCCATCCATCTCTCATTTCCAGAGTCTGGGGCCGGAGATGCAGAGACACGAGGTTCAGACTCAGAGTTGAGTCCAGAGCTCAGGTTGCTGGTTGTGGGGATGGCTTCTGGATGGACTTTGCAATGCTCTGACCTTGGCCTACACCCACCTCACTTGGACACAGGGCTTCCCAGTTTATAAAGCGTGCTCACAGCCATCTGCTCATGTTAACCTAGATGTGGTCCTCCCTGTGTTACACCCAGAGCACATGCCCCACAGTCCTCCAGAGGGAAAAATGGGCTAAGATGTCTAAAGAACATTAAACCAGGGATATAACTTGTAGAACATAAAGCATAGTTTATTGATTTTTGCAAAAATGTATAATAATTTGCCTTTGTTTTGTTTTGTTCATCAAGATGGAAAGAAAAAAAAATAGCCAGGGCCCAGATAGGGCAAGCACAGAACATGACAGCAGAGTCACCATCTGGTGCTGTTCCCCCCTTGGGCTGGTCAAACATCCACGCAGACTCTCCACTCATAATTAAACTCCACTCAAGAACAGAAACATCATGCTTCACCCCAATGGGGTTGACTGGTCTCCTGCTCTCACCCTCTCTCCAAAATGAGACTCAAAAGGCCTCATCAATAACATCATTCTGGATAATGTTGGATTCTCTTCTTGTTCCTCTACTTCTAGAGGTCACAGGCACTCCTTGATAGGTTATAACCTACAGATTAAAACATCAGTTTAGCCATCACTGGCATTCCTTATGCACAGTGTATACACACACATGATAAGCAAGGAAGAAGTCCACAGAGCCGCCAGAGTCCTCATTTCTGTAACCGATCCCAAGGCCATTGGTGATATTGATCATTTCTCTCTTCCCCACTAGCTATTCTAGATTCTCTTTGTCCTCAACCAACAATTCGTGGTTGGGGTATTTTATCTGGTGAAAGGACTCAGACTTTGGTGGTCCTTTCGCTGCTGTGGTTTCCCATTACCCTTTTACTACTGGCCATGGAAATTCTGTGGGGCACCCCGGAGAATCCTCAACTTCCTATACAGAGTGTCCCAGGCCACCATTGCAGAAGCAAGCCCATGTACCCTCGGGGATCGGGACCAATCCCCGAAGTCTGTAGAGGACCCTTTTTTGCCTCTAGTTTCAACAGTATGAGATCAAAATGTCCAAATGGCAACCTCAACTTCTGCTAATTCAGCTGAACCACTGACGTATTCCCCAACAAAAGCATTCCTTCCTTAGGAACCATAATCTCTAACCATCAAAGTGCAAAGATTCAGGGATGGGAAGTAGCATTTTTGTGAATGGGTTATTATGTGCAGTAGTGAGGGCTAGTCTCCCATTTGTACCTCAGCACTGCTGGATCTGTGTTTTCTGGGTGTGGGAGAAACAGCACCGTGGTCTGTGTGAAGTGTAGACTGCATCCTGCAGGACATCACCCCCTGGTGATCCTGCCTGGTGCAGGAGGCCATTTCAATGCTCTATAAGTCTGGCTGCTTCTAGATAACAGACCTAGTAAGACCAGAAGGTTCCATAGGTATAATTGTACTGCTGCATTCTTCTGCTGTGATATCAACTCCTTGGCCAGAAGCAATGTTGTATGGAATACCAAGACTGGATCCAAGGTGTCCATGGGCGTGGAGGTCAAAGACGGCAAATCCATACATAGAATATAAAACTTGTGCCCCTCCATGATGGAAGGGGTCAGTGTACTCCATCTGCCCCTTTTTGTATTTGAGCCCGTTGAGCAAGCACTAGGGTGGCTGGGGGAGGGAAGGGCTTATGCCTACAGAACAAGTCATGTCCATCTATGTGTTGAGAGTCTCCTCTACAGTGAGTCCTTCTGGCGGGGATATCCGCAGAGAATACAGACATCCTCTCTCTCCATGCCCCTTGTTACAGGTCTGGCCACAGCCTCTCCCTCACAGGTCTCCTTGTTACCAATCTTCCATTCACATTCTTGAGCATCCAGCCAAACCACCCACCCCACGAGTACGTGCAGATCTGCATTTCTGGACTTCTGTCTCCATCTCGATAGAGTGGACAACCACAGGCACTGTTTGAAGTCCTGTCCGCTGAGAGGCTTTTCCTTCTGCGATGTCTCTGAGCCCGTCCCATGGTGCTGCGGCCATCCACTCTCAGCTGGTACCAGGACGGAGGTTTTTCTTCTTCCATCATTTGATCCTAGGGAGTTCGTCACATGGCCTTAGGTGTTGGGTGAGGGAGAGGTGACAGTGTGGCAGGAAGAGCTGGCGGAGTCTGAGCTGTTTCACTTCCACCTGAGAGAATGGGGCTAAACATACCTAGCTCTGTGGCTGAATGGATCAGATGACACCCGGTTCGGGATGCACAGCTCAGGCTGCCTCGTCACTGGGTGTCTCGTGGCCGTGTTCAGTTCTACCAGAGCCCAGGAGCAGACCAGAAACTAGTTTTCTAGTTGTAAATTGTTATTTGCAGACGAGGACATGACTTTGTTCTGGGTGCTAGGGGTATGCAGTGAGATCGTCCACTAGGGCTGGCGGGAGGCTCCACACACCATGTCTAAATCCCAGACTATTTAAACACTGTTGGGCCTGCTGGAACATGAGGCTCGACGGGCAGAGCACCTTGCACGGCAGCCCGAATCTGCTTTGGGAGCCGTCCAAACCCAGCAGTCTAGAGCTGACTCAGCGAACGGTCTGGAGCAGCACACGCAGATGGGCATACGCAGATGGGCACACACTGTCTCTCAAATCCGAAGGGGGCCACCAACTGCACTGCTTTGATCTTAGCAGTAGGCGTAGCAACCTTTCACTTGGAGGGGACAGCCTGACATTTCCTAACCCCTAGGGCCCTACAAATTTCACCCCGGTTACGGGCCCTGAATGTCCCTGGGGTTTAGACCACACCCTCTGGCGGGCGTGGGTCTTGCCAAGGCATCTGGTGCAGTCGCTATTTCCTGTTCACTGGGCACAGCCCGATGTCATCAGTGTCGTGCATCGGCGTTCTGTTATACAGACAAAGGTCTCTACAGGTCAAACTATGACGGAGAACAAAAAAGCTGACATAGCCCCACGTTAAGAACTGCTGCCCTGCCAAGGGAAAGCAAATGGCTTTTGGTGGTCCTTACTAAACGACACAGAGAACAACACTCCAGCCCAGAAGCTGAACTCAAAGACAGACACTGCATCAATTTGCTTTAGTGAAGAAACCACATCTGGAAAAGCAGCTGTCTGAGTCACCACCCCACGGAGTTCAACAAAACATTCTCCAGGTCCCGTCCACTGTACAGTGTGGAAACTAGTCTAGTGTGTGAGCGCAGTGGGGAGTTCTAGGAGCCTTCCCCTCATCTACCCAAATAGCCCTTCTACCTAAATAGGGAGACAGGAATGCTGGGATGGACTTAACACACAACTTTGGCCCAGGAGCTAAGTGGAAGCTTAGCCTGGGTTACTGGGGACAGGAGAAGAGGGTGACTGACCAGCCGCAGGAGGCGGAGGTCTGTCTGGTTCTGCTGAGACTCCGAGGTGCTTGCCCATGGCAAAGACAGCCAAGTCAGTCTCAGTTTGGAGACAGGGAGGGTCTTCAGCTGTTACGAGAGCTGGCAGCTCTGCTTAGAACCTGCAGAGAGACCGATGCCCAGCCAAGCTGTGTCTCCACCAAATGCCTAACACATTTCAGCTTTCCTCAGGGAGGCTGGCTGGATGGCAAGGAAGTCAGGCCTGGAGAAGTGGGAATGAAGAAGGAGAAGGAGTAGAGCAGGCGGGGAATGAAGAATTGCTACGGTGCATACCAAGCGGTTTTTAATAAGAGGGGAGAGACGTCAAGGACTCCGGAGCGTGGATGTTCAGTGTTCTCCCATTCGCGAGGTGAGTGGTAGAAACTGCCCTGGAATGTTTCCTGCTTTCGTTCAGGGACCCAGACTCCTTCCATGCTGTTGCCCCACCTTCCTCTGGGACATTGTTCTCATCCACAGGGCCCTTGATACCTAGGTTTTATCTGCTCAAAAGGGGAAGAGAGGATGGAAGGGCACGTGTCCAGTAGTTGAAGACCTACACTGGGGAGAGGGTCACGAAACTTCCACTCACATTCGATGGGTACGAACTTAATGGCTGGGCCTGGCCCAGCTGC